CCTTGGACTCTAACCCTAACACTTAACCTACCCGCTAACGAAACCCCAACACTAATACCTTAATTAAGTCTTGATAATAACCACTATTCTATTGCATACTGGCCTTGTTTTCTGCCAGGAGCCTTCGCGGCAAAAGCAAGCAGGTCTCCAGCCGAAGATATGCAAGTTTACTTAAAATGTCGTATTTTGGCAAATGCTAGAGAATGAAACAATTTGGTGGAACCTTTTCACTGACATCTCTGCATATCCTCTCTGGTCATTACAAGAGGGGTTCCACTCTCTCTTCTAAAGTAAACTTGTCAGAAATCTAAAGGTACTGAACAGGCTACAGCACTAAAATGGTGATTAGTGGCTAAAGATAACCCACCTCCTGCCACACCTTACTATTAGCCATTAAGGCTGACAATCATTGTGACTGGGCAACAGGAAGGTGTGCCATTAAATAATGAGCATGAAACACGTAAAAGCCATGCTGTGTGTTTTACCCCCTTTGGAATGAAATAAAGAATTTGCAGTTAATGCTAGAGTGCCGTCATCCATTGCTTTATGAGACATATTCTTCAGTGATGAGCTGGATGCACACCTAGCGGGGTTTGCAGGCAAGCATGGACCTACCTGGACTGGTATTTCTTATGTTCATATGCAATAGGAAGATATGGGAAAAGGAAGAAGGATACTATCACAAAGTGTTGAAATTTGCATATTACAGTGCCCCAAGATTCAGGTAAGTAGGGTGCACATGAAGAAATGAAAAAGTAAGTGCATGCACAGCTAGGTAGAACTGCAGCTTGTTCAGTTCCTTTAGGATATTATGATGCATGTAAGCAGATAAGTGGACTGGAACACAGCCAGGGACAGTGGCAATGATATTTGATTTTGGAGTCTTCATGAAGTTGATTAATCAAGTCGCCAGATTTTAACAAAAACTGAAATACCAGCCTTAGGTTGACTGCCCCTTTAACGGTAATGGAATTAGAATCTAAATAGACCACAGACACTAAAAATGTTCCAACGCTACAGCAATAGTGCCGTACCAATATGACATCTGTGTTACTATCGATACTAAGAATATATACTAAAACGAACAGTGATTACTGCAGAGAATAGTACACTGACTGAGTAACTAACAAAGGGCTCTGCTTGGTATAGTAAGATGATATCAATTCTATTAATATACACTATACCATGAGTGTAAATTTGTAGTAACCCTGTGCAGTTCATTCTTGGTGAAATATTCTCATTCATGACTATATAACTATTCTACAGAAATAAAATTGCAGTGTAGAGTAGTACATCTCATTTAACATCTTCCTCTCTTGCTTCTATGATTCCAAAGGCACGACCAGTGTTAAAGTAGCATTAAACTCTAATTTTTTTTTTCAATAATGAGTATTATATAACAAGATCAAACAAATATATTGTACATTGCCCAGCAAAGCATTTCTTGTTCCAGCCCAAGCACTTACAATCATCATGTTTCCAAACAGCTCCAACTCTATCAGCTCAGCTTACCTGAACTTCCTGTCCAGTACGAGATCATAAGGGACAGGGCAGTCTCCAGCAGCTGTCCATCTACTAGCTTGGAGAATCGATGAGGGAGGAGAGGGGAGCAGGGGAGTGACTTGCCTTGCTGTGCCTGTGTGTTTGTGGAGACGCACACAGCTTACTAGCACATACAAAAGGTGGCTCCATAGGACCCTACTAAAGGGAAAGGCACCACCCTATAGGATACCAGGGCCAGTGCCCACCATACCAGCTGGTTCTGCATACTAAACCTTTTAAGCATCAATGAGCAGCATCCATTGTAAGTGATTTCATCAGCATTTGAAACAGCTTTAAAATTTTTTGACTTTAACATAGAACTCTGCAGATCTACTTTGTTTTAATAACCCTGTCCCTTTAAAGTTATGTAACTGCAATTGTATATTTATATAAACAAATATGCCATTTTGTTTTTGTGATTTGCTGCATGTCCTGCTGTATACTTCACTCGTAAACTTCCTTTGACTCAATTGCATAAGAAAATGAAGTAACAAAAAAGAAAGAAACTCTGGCCGAAACAAAAACCTCTGTAAATCCTATAATGCAGACCTGGGCAAATTTCTCAAAAAGGAACCAGAATGGAAACATAGGAGCCACCCATCTGCTGGTTTTGCACATATTTTAGTAGTTTTGATGAGCTGTTTTCAAATTCATTTTAGTTCTAAACATACACATATTTAGGATATAACGGAAATTAAGCAGCCTTTGCTTCCTCAGTACCTCATCATGGTCATATACCGTACATTTTGACAAAATCAAGCAAAGCTTTTGTGTTGAGAATTGTTTGCAGCAATCAGGGAAAATCATCCAGTGTGGGGATGTAGTAATGAGCACTTCCAATCATCAGAGCTGATTGTATTGTAAAAAGAGATTTTCCAATGTGCTTAAAAAAATCTCTTTGTGACCATAGCCAATTATTGCTGCAAGTACACTGTGAAACATCTATCTGTCAGATTGGGAAGAAAATTGTGGTAGTTTCCACTGGCAAATATCACATTCAAGGACAGTTCGATATTAAACTGTTGATTGTTCTTAGTGAGACATATGCCCTAATGCTAAATTTTATGTAACCAAACCCAAAGGCACCTTTATGCCTATCCTGTGCCCCACTCCCAAACACGGAAAAGTTAAAAAAACAAAAAACAATTGTTTAGTAAAGCCTTTTATAGGATAACATAGCAAAACAAAATCTAAGCTACTCAGAAGTACAATACATATTTACTTAACACTATGGGATTTGCATTACAGTAACACTGTATTCTGCTTTGATTTCCTAATCTCTACCTTTCAAGGTAATGATTTTGACCTTTCAGTAACAGGATGAATTTGTGTGCTGGAATAAAAGAGAAGGCCATTCTGAAAATCAACCAAAATGAACATTAGTTTTTTTTTCCCCATTGCATTGGACTGCAAACAATCACAGCAAGCCCTCCTTCTTAGTTGATTCCACCTGTTCACACTGGGGCAGCTCCACAAAGGCAGGGAACTTTAACATTTTTAGAATTACAAAAAAGTAGAACGCCCGCTCCACGTAAAGGATCATTACCATTTTTTAAAAGCAAATTATGAAATGTACTCAAGAGAAAAGTGACACAAACATATTCAATGGTTTCCCTCACAGGAGGCTATCGCCCATCAGAAGCCACAGCGCAGCCAAGTCAGCTCATGCCCAAAGTCGTCTTCCAGCAGCAAGTGGCAGGGTTAATGCGTTGCTGGGGCACGCCCCCTTTCTCAGAACCCTGAGGGAAGACCACTTCGGTCGTGAGCTGACTTGGCTGTGCTGTGGTTTCTGATGGGCGATAGTCTCCTGTGAGGGGAACTATTAAATATGCTTGCGTCACTTTTCTCTTGTGATTACCATTTTTTAAAAGCAAATTATTAAACGATCCTTCACACGGAGTGGGCACTCTCCTTTTTTGCCAACTTATCACTGGGTAAAACAAAAGTGTGTGGCCAAAATGATCCAACATGGCTGTGCGGGTGTGAAGACAGTCATAGATTGATTTAGCAAACAGGTTCAGAAATGAAACTGCTGCCAGTGAGGGCAAAGTATCTGTAGCAGAGACCTTGGTTAGGGTCAATATGTGCCCTGGTTTCATTCTACTTTAGGTACAATTTCCCTGATGACAAGTCCAGATCATTTGGTACATTTTAGGACAACTGGGATCAGAACTGAAATCTTTGATATTCATAGTGAACAATGGCAGCTACATAAACTGACTTTGTGAAGATGGCCAGGATCACATTAAAAAAGGCCTGTTTGCCTTTTGTTCATCAGGGCTCACACCCCACATGGTCCATAACTTACAACTCTGTTTTCTGACAGCATCCTACATTGTATATTATTGATTGACCCTGTGCAAAAATCTGTAAAAGTACAGACACTATTTCAGACTATAAATATACACAGGTTAATTTAGAAAGGAAAGTAAGGAGAAGTAATGATAGGCAAAGTACAATAACATAAAGCAGCCAATCACAAATCATCTATCAGTAAACAGAAATCTACGGTGCAGATTGTTATGAGTTACCACATCATAACTAGTCTCTGCACTGTGTTATTATATATGAACATGAACCACTAATGGATATATGCAAGTGTTACAACAATCTAAATTCCATAAAAGCCCTTGAGGTAATGACAGAAGGACATACATTAGGTTTATTATTAATAAAGGGTAAAAGTGGGGTAAAGGTGAAACATGGTGGAGGACAGTGCTTATTTTCAGCAGGCAAATGACAGATAAAGGGTCAAAAGGAAGATGATGACGGTGATGGATGGCGTACGTCCATCCTATTATTGCTGCTCATATCTCGTACACTTTTTATTAATGCCAGAGAAAATTGGGATAAATAAAATGATTGTATCAATCATTATCATAGTAGTTGATTGAAAACAGGACTGCAATTAAGATGACCCTGGGCTGGTTGTCTATACGCACAAGTAGACAAAGTTATAGGCTTCAGAAATACTAATTTGATGCATTCATCTGGATGGTAAGCCTCCATCAATGTCATCATTGAGACTTACAGGGTGCAGCAAATTTCCATGAAGAGTGGACATTCATAAAAAACATAAAGTTCATGCACATTCATAGTTTGCAAGATTTCTCCTGTCCCATTGACATTATTTGTCAAAAGAATGACAAGTTGGAGGCAAGGATATTATAGGGAGCAGTGTTAGGTACAAAGCGTCATGGGAGTTGTATGGTGGTATGCAGTATCGGGTGTTGGATATAGAAAAGCATTGGGGTACTGGAGTTGGGGCTGTCGGATGCAAGTAGAGAGTTGAATCTCATATTTTTTAATTAGAAACTCTGGCTTCTGTTCTATAACAGAAATATCACCTTTTAAGAGTTATGAAAGTGTGGTGAAAATATGACCATCAATAAATGTATTATTTATGAGCACCATCTTCAAGACAGATATACAAATACATGGGCTGATTGCTGACCAACCTTCAGAATGAATTCGAAATATTTCTTCCGTTTTGCTACAAATATCTCTTCTAAGTGCATTCCAGTCTGAAACCATGGCACCAATTTCATTTTTAAGAGCTTGCTGCTCTGACTGAAGACATCTCAGCAACACTAAGGTCTTCTTTAAGCTTTCTTCTTGTTTAGCTGCCTTCTCTCTGTAAAGAACATGCAAGAAGATAAAGCATTACTCTCCATGACTATCTTAATATTTCTAGATGCCACTTTGCATGTGGATTTTCTGTGATGATTCACAGTACAATGTAGAAAAGTTACTCCTTCCTCAATGTAAGATTCAAACCAAGCTATTATATTCAGATAAAAATGTATTAGTTAGATATCATTTAAAATATTGATGAAAGAATGAATGTAGTATAGAGGTTTATGGTACATTATTGTAGAGATCTATACATCAGACAAAAAAGATGGACAGCTGTGGAGGAAAGAGGGATTTCGTTATAAAAGAGACAGTGGGGTTGATTTACTAAAGGCAAATAGGCTTTTCAGTTTGTAAGGGAATTTTTCCCTTAGCTTAGTGAATGTGATGAAAATGCACTTAGCAAATAAAACACAATTACATGCAAGGAAAATAAAAAAAGAAACATTATTTTTGCTTGCACATGATTGGATGATGAAAGTCAGCCAAGCTTTCTCTTATTCACTAAGCTAAGGGCGCATTCCCTTGCAAAGTGAGCAGCCTGTTTCCCTTTAGCAAATCAACCCTAAAGCCCCTTCAAGTAAAGTAAAGTTGAGATCTATGCACTACACCTACACCATTGTGAAAATCTGATGCTCTGAGCAGGTAGGCTGTGTTTCCCGAATTCATATCAAGGATTCATATTCAATTTTGGCTGAGGTGGAAATTACACACTGGATAAGGAAATGTGCCGTACTCTTCCAATATAGCGTTATGTAAGATTTCAACCCAAAAGCAAAAATTTAAAATATCGGAGCTTACCTACCCTTATATATGGTGGCTATATTAGTTTTCCTTTTTTAGTTTTTACCTGGTAATCTGGCCAGCAGCACACAGTGTGGCTCCTCTCTATGGAGAAGGAATGGAGCCACCCTTGGACAGCAGCATTGTCACCCTGTAGAGAGGGTAGTGTTAGATGGACTTAACTAAGAAATTAAAGCTGAACCCTAGCCAACACATTTTAAGCAGATACAGCTTTTCGTTTTTGATTTGGGATAAAGATTTTACATAAATAAATAAAAATCTGACCATTGTAAGCACCCCGGTCAGTGTTAAATAGTTTGTCTCAGCCCTCTATGTGCCACCTTTGCTGGATAGCTTGGTCTGCTTTAGGAAGTTGAAAAATAACAGACTTACTGGCCAGATCACCAAGTGTACAAATTGTTTTTTTTTTCAGTAAAACTGCAGTTGTGAAAGAGCAACTAGGATTGTAAAATATTAAGATACTATGGTTATTCATCGTGTAATAAATGCGGTTTATGTTGTTTTCCTTGGCTGAGCTCTCCTTTTTGTTATCCCATGTTGATATTGTGCTTGTGTTTTTACTTCAGTCAGCATCATTCTTTTGTTCTTGTTACTGATCTTTACTCAGGATTACTAAACGTACATAAATAAAGCAAATCTGTTTAATTCTATATAAAGTATATTTATATAGTATGGAACTTCAAGTGACACTAAAGTCAGGCTACTTTTGTTCCCCATGGTCCCTGTGTGTGTTGTAAAGTAGCCACTGCTCCAATCTCACTTCTGTGATGGACTACAATCTCATGGACAACAATCTCAATACACTGTGTGCACAATTATTAGGCAAGTTGTATTTTTGAGGATTCATTTTATTATTGAACAACTACAGTGCTCTCTGTCCATCCAAAATGTTAATAAACCTCAAACCTGCATATTTTTAAGAAAGTAAGTGAGGTTTTGGCTTTCTTAGGAGAATATCTATGTGTGTACAATTATTGGGGAACTATTAGTGTGCAGGATTATTATGCAACTAAATGGAAAACCAAAATGTTCCCATCTCACTTGTTTATTTTAATCTGTTAAAGTGAGAATAATAAACAAACAACTCAATTTACAAATAAACATTTCTGACATGGATTATAGTCAACAAAAACAAAAATCAGTGACCAATATAGCCCCCTTCTTTTCAATAATAGTCATAAGCCTTCCATCCATGGAGTGTGTAAGTTTCTTCATCTGTTGACGATCAACTTTTTGTGCAGCAGCAACCACAGCCTCCCAGACAGTGTTCAGAGAGGTGTACTGTTTTCCTTCACCGTAAATCTCTCATTAAGAAGGACCCACAAGTTCTCATTAGGGTTTAGGTCAGGTGAGGAAGGGGGCCATGTCATTATTCTTTCATCTTTAAGGCCATTACTGGCTAGCCATGCAGTGGAGTACTTCGATGCATGCAATTGAGCATTGTCCTGCATAAATATTATGGTCTCCTTGAAAGATTCAGACTTTTTCCTGTACCACTGCTTGAAGAAAGTGTCTTCTAAAAACTGGCAGTAGATTTGGGAGTTGATTTTGAGTCCATCTTCAATCCGAAAAGGTCCATACTAGCTCATCTTTAATAATAATACCAGCCCATGCCAGTACCCCACCTCCACCTTGCTGGCGTCTGAGTTGAAGTGGAGCTCTGTGCCAGTTACTGATCCAGGCACGGGCCAAGCAGCTACCACTTCAGACAGATTTATGTAGTAAAAAAAGGCAAATTTTTGCATGTTTATAACAGTGTGTGAATTTTTCCATTGATCCCTGCGATGGATTTAAAGATGATATTATTAATAATGTGGCTGTTTGTTTTCAGTTAAACATGAAAAAAAACCTTTAACATGTGAGAAGTCTCTAGAAGTGAGTGTTTGGAGCGCATTAATAAGTAAATTAAAGTGCACCCAAACTCAGCACTCGTCTGCTGATATAGTCAATGTCAGCTCGACATAAAAATACAAAGAGCATGCTCCCTGCAAAAGAAGTATTTAACTTACCTGTCCCGTTGTCCGTGCTGGTGATCTATTCTGTATTTCTGAGATACCGATGCCTGAAGCATCTTCTTCATATGACACTTCCAGAATTATCGGATGACTGGTCCATTTGTGATCTGCAGTTCTTTCTGCCAACCCCTACATCACTACAGGACAAAGTGCACTTATCTTTTTTTGTCCATCTCCCCCTAGATGCATACCTAACTCCACCAAGCAGGCACGATCCACCTTATTGTCTACTCTACCTCATAAAATCCATTCTGCACTGGGCGCACCAGCGCAGTATATCACCATAGATTTGTATGTGGCTGTATCCCAGTAGTCTTCTGTCTTGAGAGATGGCATCATACACTGAGTGGCCAGTTTATTATGACCACCTGATGTTTGTAGGCAAATTAGCTATAATTACCTATAATTTCGCGCTAAAGTTGCTAGAGGGCCAGACCATTATAAATAGGGAAGCAGGTTGTTTACCACGACAGTAGAAATTATTTTTTTCTGAAGATATGGGTAAACAACGCAATTTAACAGCCTTTGAACGTGGGATGATTGTTGGCGCGAGCCATGGAGCGGGTATCAGCAAAACAACAGAATTCATTAAATGTTCAAGAGGGGCTCATTGTTAAAGTGTTTAAAGACTGGACTGTAAGCCGAAAATCTGGGTCTGAACGTGCGAATTGTGGCCGTCAGCGACTAGTCAATGTTAGGGCAGAACAGAGAGTGGCAAGACTGGTACAAGACAACAGAAGGGCAACAGTGCAGTGTCAGATTCCTTGCATCACCTTTCAACATCTCGTGGAGTCACGAGGCGGCCCAACGAAGTACTGATGGGGTGGTCATAATAATCTTGCCACTCAGTGTAGATGTCTACGGGGAAAGTACTGGGCAGATGCGCTTAACTGTGAAGACATGGCCAGTGCAAAGAAGATATTAGGGAGGATGTAAACACTGAGGTGGACCATGTCTGCTGAATGGAGGTTAGTATCCATCTGAGGCAGGGGAGGGTGTGGTATTTTAAGTTGGGAGGTGGAGTGAGGGGACTAGAGTGCTCGAAGTGTGTTTGGTCAGGTCACCCATATATACACCCTTATATGCATTGTATTTGTGACCTGGATTATAGTCAAGCTCCCAGGCTAAACCCCATCACATGTTTTCAGCTAGATCTATGGGTCTATTATATCTGCCTAGAGGGATATAGGTAGATGTAATTAAAACAGCACAATCAACGAGTTGGTTCACTTGGTTAGAATACTTCAGCCAACTCATATCTGCCTCTACTGGTGACATGACTTGGCTGTTTCCAAAGCGTGAGAAATACTCTCAGCAAACCAATGTCGTAGAGGTGCTCTGTACCAGCCACACTCACACAATACAAACAGCCATTTTGAGTGTTGTGTTATTGTTAAGCCTAACAATTTGCTCTGCACAACAAGGCTCAAATGCACATACTGGTCTCCACCACTGGGAGTACCATGGGTGCCTAACAATTCGCTAGGTTCACTTCAGCAAGCACCACATGAAAGCAGAACATATGTTATATGGTCAGTACAAAGATAAAAACTGTTTTTATTTGCTTTTGAAAAGCTTAAACCCATTTACAGATATAACACATTTTACACACAAGTCAGTGAAAGAGACAGCGGCAGAAAAATATGCTCATGTGGCAGGCATCCAGACGTTAAAATATATCATGAGGCCTCCAGATGAAATCATGTGCTCCATCCTGGCCTGTTTTTGACGCAGCTCCTTATCTCGCTTCAAGCATTTGAAAACTCATTCCCGTCTGCCACTCCCTTACTTATAGAAATGTACTGGGTATGCTGATATGATGTTCACCATCAAAAACATATGTTAGCTTCTGCCTGATGAATCCTGCTCACTTCTGTGATCTTTGCAGGAGAGGGGAAAAAGGTGCTTTTAATACAGTAAGATCATCCTCCTTTATGGAGATGTCAGTGGATCAAAGTAGCTGCAGATAAAGCAAAAATGAGATCTGCTAAGATAGCAGATGAAATACACTATAATATTAAGTATGGCCATGCTTTATATGTAACAATTGTGTATTGTACCATATAATGCTGATCAGTATGAAGCAGCTGCCAACCAAACCTCTGACACACTGGAGAAATTAAAAGGATTCAGAAATTCACTTTTATTCAACAACAAGGCAGGCAGGGATATGTACAGGGCTTTTCCATAAAAACTGAAGTAAAGAGGGAATGTGGCTAATGTTGTGAAAATCAGTCTGGTTTTTTTTGGTTTTTTTTACTGCCCTACACTGTAAACATTTAAAAGAAAACCTGACTGGTTGGTACAATTTTGGAATGAACTGTATTGAAAGGGCTGGAATCATCTTGGACAGATGTTAGAGGCCACCCAGGGGCAAAAAAAAACAAAAACAAAAAAGTACCCTTGCAGTGCACTCCCCACAATGAAAGGGTTCAGTGCTCATTTTTGTCTAGCGGCTGAAGTACAGCAGAGTTGCTTACCAAAGCTCGCTCCTGCCAGGCTGCTAGAATGGTCCCCGCAACTTCTTCTCCCCTGTGCTCCAGTGATCTAAGTACCGTTCATGTAATTACATCTAATTCAGGTTCCATAGGTCTGCATTAGATGTGAGTTCACCGAGGGACATTCTGCTAGCCAGAGCGGACGGGGGGAAGAGGTGAGCACCGACCACCATGGGAGTGGAGAGCAGGTAAGTAAATCTGCTTTACTCCCACCCCTAGACAAAAATGAGCACTTATTTCTTGCAGTGTGAGGTTTGCAAATTGCCTTGTTCTCACGCTGGGCAACACTATCCAACACTGGTGGGGTGAACAAACCCTAAAAGCAGCTAGAGAGGTCAGGGATGGCTTTTAAAGCTCTTTTACTGCTTAAAAATATTAAATATAATGTCCATAATCAGGGCACAGATGCACTTTAACTATTATAACTGGATTAAAAAAAATATTGTTAAATAATATTAGGTTCAAGGCCTGCACAAACAATGTAGTTTTTGGTGGGGGTTGTATGGCATTTCTAATGTGATTCCTCAAATGCCAGAATGACATGTCATAGTTAACTAAGCAAACACATTAGTGGTTCTGATTTGTATGATACACTGTGTAATGCACTGTTGTTAAAAATTAGATTTGACAATTTATCATATTAGGAAAATGCTTTCCTCAGATAAACAAATCTCAAAACTGCAGCAGAGTATATAACTTTGCCAAACCAAATTGTTGTTAACTGCATGGATTTCGGAACTGTGCCAAATTTTGCAGGAGTTGAAAGTGCTATGTTGTGTTGTATGCAACATCACAGTCCAAAGCAGTGCAGGACATGACCACATCCCAATGACATACAACAGCTGTAAAAGCATGGAGACCTTCCCTTCCTCTGTTCTCAAAAGCCAGCCGCTGGGCTGTGAATGTGTGCATAGTCTAAGGTTTTAATTAAAACAAAAAAATAATCTATCAACTAGCTCTAAAAACATACCTAAACCTCTGGTCTCATGACACACCAGGTCTCAGGTCTTATTTCTTCTGCTCTGTAGTGTGGGAGAATCCAGTCTACAGTGCCCATGTCATTTCCTGGTGACATGGGTGCTGCCAACTGGCTATTAGAAGGGACCATCACAGGGTCCTGCAGCAATCAGCAGTGATGTCACAAGAGGTACAAACACAAGACTTGTTAGCAGAACAAGTGCAGAGAAAAGACGGCAGCTTTAAACCCGTGGAACAGGCATCCTGGAGATCAAGTGACAGCGTAACCATTTTTCCCCCCATAAACTTGGGTTTTATGCTGGCCACTAACATTAGTGCATAATCTGACCAATTATGATATTTTATGGATTAGTTTCCCTCTGAATAGGATTACCTATTCAGAAAAGTAATCCTGTTTAGGGCAATGAAGGAGCCAGACTTAGACATTCCCTCTACAGGGAAAAAAGCATTCAGGTAGTCACACGATGCACCATAGACACTGGATAATTACCTGACCCAGCCAAGGGAAAACAGATTGGAATACTTTTAATGTGTACATTTAGTCCTAAATTATGAGGGGCTAGTCAAAACCAAATCAATGAATAGCAGAATCTGCCTTTACTGACTATACCCTCAAATGTACCTACAAATATAGAAATATAATAAAACATATTGGTTGTATTTACCACCAAAATGTTAATTATAGCCATGGGTTGTTTTTATCTCAGTAGAGGTACTCTCCTGTCCCACCTCCTAAGAACTGCCCCCCCCTGCAAAGCACCACTTTTCCACTCCTTTCTTTTAATTATGCTCTCGCCACCATCTCATCCCTTACAATATCGTCTCCCCCGAGGTTCCAGGATAGCCAAAAACCTCCCACTGTGCTGGGCACCCCCCAACCAGGCTCCAGATCACCTAACGGATGCTATAATTGTGTACCTAGGCCGTTAGCGTAATGTCAGATTCCATCCAGACGGACCAAATTCTATCGAACTTTTGAGGGCACCCTCTGTTAGCGTAGGTGGCTTTGTGCAGCTGTAAAGATGTGTGTTTTCCAGGCCCCCAGACCAGGCGGCTCAGACTTCCTCCAATTGAGGATAATGAGCTTTCTAGCGTAAAACAACAAGTATGCAAGTAGTGTGCGGGACGCCACCGTGGGTAGAATATCGTCAATGAGGCCCAGCACACATATTTGAATATTCGCAGCAATGGGAATCTGCAATATCCCTGAGGCCACTACCATCACTCCCCTCCAGTAGTTCTCAAGTCTAGGGCAGGACCACAACACATGCATTAGATCCGCCGGCTCCCAGGGACACCTCCAGCACCTAGAGGACTCTGTGGATCGCATAGTAGCAAGTCTGGCCGGCGTGTAGTAAGCATGATGAGCAATTTTAAATTGAATCAACCTATCCCGGGCGGAGATCAATGTGGTCATAGGTGTTCCCCATATCTCCTCCACATCCTCCAACTCCAGATCCGAACAGTCATGCATCCATGCTCCTCTACATCTCTCCAGGGACCCCCCACCCCCCCGTGAGATCAATTGATATATGGTAGATAATGGTTTAACCAGTCCCTCCACACGTAGCAGGGACTCCATCTCTGCGACAGAGAGAGACAGGCGGCCCCCAGGGAACTGCGAGGAGAAGGCGTGACGCAGCTGTAAATAAGTGAAGAAATTACTGTTCGGCAGCGAGTATGTTATTTTAAGTTCCTCGAAGGATCTCAAACCTCCGTCACTTACTAGATCCTTTAATGTTAACACTTTCTTAGATGTCCAAGCCACCGGGTCTAAGATGGAGGCAAAGTGACCGAGTGAGGGGTTTCTCCACAATGGGGTATGTGGGGAGAACTGCACAGTAGTTCCGGACTCTCGGACCCCAACTACATTCCAAGCTTTCATGATGGATCTCATAGAAGGTGTCTGCCGGTAGGGGGAGTAACGGCCCCGGTACACCAAATGTCTCAGCGCTTCATAGGACCCCACCAAGGCAGCCTCCAAGGTGACCGCTGGGTCGTGGTCCCCCTCCAGGAGCCACCTATGAGCAAATGTCAGTTGTCCCGCCAAAAAATAGCCGTAGAAATTGGGGACCGCCAACCCCCCCTCCCCCCATGGTCTTTGTAGGACCGATAGTTTAATCCTGCGCGCCTTACCATTCCAAAGAAACTCGGAGATCAGGGAGTCAATTGTTCTAAATATCCGTTTCGGGATCCACACTGGAGAGTTACGCAGGGTATAAAGCAGTAACGGAAGGAGTTTCATCTTTATAGCACTATATTTTAAAGCACTGCACAGTATACACAGCGCCCAATACGAAATACATTTTGTGAATATTCAATTTAATTATCCAATCATGTACAGATAAAATAGGTTAACAGGAATTTGCTTTCCACCTGCTTGGATAAAATGAAGTGAATATTAATTTATGAATTGAACACACAATTTTTTTTTCTGTGAAGATTCTCAACTCCTTTAGTAAATCAGAATTGACATTTTCTTACAGCACAAAAACTGTGACATACAAGTGTTAAGAATTAGAACATATCACCAACTAAGTGAATTTTCTGTTGAGTGAGAGATAAAAGGAAATTGCTGGCGTTCAGCTATATAAGAAGAATAACATTCTGTGGAATAATAAATGTCACTTGTGGATAATTCAAAACAGAAACAGATTGGAAGTGAAATTTGAGGTATACCCCGCAGCATTACTTATAGAGATCTGCTATAAACTTACAGGCTACATGGAAAAAATTATGCGCTTTATATTGCAAATAATCTTTTTTTATTACAGAGAAACAACAATGTTTTTTGTTACCGGGCCTTAAAATACTGCATGCGACATGCACAATTCATTATTTCTTTCCATGGTTCATAGAAAACTAGGGAATAATTACCAATTTGGTCTTGGTGATTTTACTTCACCCCGCGCATTTTGTGCACATCAAATTCATGTTATGGGTTCTTTGAGCTCTGATCAAACACACACCCATAGTCGGGTCAAGAGTTTTTCAACTTAAGCTGAACTCTGGAACAGATTGGCTTTTCTAGAGATTAATGGTATAGCTTTGCTCTGATTACCAAGGAAGTTTGCTATGGAAACAGTGATGTCTTCGAATGGCATGACATACTCAGGAAAACAGTCTACCATATTACTTGTAAAGTTCACAGATCCAGCCATGTGGACTCATAGTTTGCATAATCAAATACAGAAAATAGTTTTTTATTTGCGTCCTATAAGGAAACACAGTTCGGAGGTTTCCTTACCTCAAAAGTTGCTGGTGCTCCTCTGCAACCTTTACAGCTTGCCGACAGGCTGTGATCTCTTCGGTCAGAATTCGAAGTTCGTTTTCTTTCGCATTCAGTTGCATTGCTGCTATCTGCAATCTAAGCAGAGGTAGACAAAGTCTCAATGCAAATGGAATAGGTTTTAATAGGCTTTTGGTTCATTCATTTACATTCATAAATATATTTAATTACCCTTAATGGAAAATTATATGATGAACATGCTAGTGAGATTGTTGTGTTTATTCATGATACTGCACAACTCAGCTTTCACACGAAATTCGAAACCTCAAAACTACTCTGCAC